CATCTCAATTTGGATGAAACCCATGAGCTAAGCTTTTCTGGCAGGTCTCCCCGCAAAATAGCTTGACTTCAATAGAAAACACCATGGAGAAAAACATGGCTTTTCAGCACACCAGTCTTTCGCTCATAGACTCAGCAATTTCCCCCAAACCATGATGGTCAACACTCATAGTCAAGAGAAACTGTTTCTATCCTCTATCATTTAACCATAGGACTATCTCAGTGCATTTGTTTACACCACTGAACCACTATTCTGTGATGAAAAGGTTACTTAGCTGCAGCATGGCAACTCAGTTCAGCGGGAACCTCTGGATGGAGGAACATCAACATGGAAATAGCGTGCTGCTGATGCCAGACCAAGGATAGGCTTCGGTTCCAAAACCACACCAAGTTTTGTGTTAAAAATCCCATCCAATTAGCCCCCAAAACTCATTAAGAGTTTTCTGTTCACAATTAATATTGCTCTTGTGGAGCCCAGCGGTCACAGCCAAGAACAAAGGGACTCATTTGGCCAGGGGCTATGCGAGTACATTTGTGATTACACAAATGTAAAATCTAAGCAGACGCACCACTCCCGATTGATAGATGAGGAACTGAAACACAAAGACGCAGAGACTGACGTGGGTCTATACAGTAAACAGATGACAAACGTGAGGTCTGAAACCTCAGAACAAGTGCTGCTATAGAAGTGTATAACATCAGACCCAGGAGTAGAACATACTTCTCTTCCATACACCAATCAGATTGGCAACAGTAACAGATTCCCACCTGTAGTTTTCAGGAGAACCCATCAGCTTGTCAAAAGCCAGACCTGAGATCTGTATCTCTTTACCTTTAGAACCTCATTTTTTATGCTACAATTCCAGCCACTCCAAAGGAAAGGGCAAGACATATGCAATACATAGGGACTGGGATGCGTTCTGAGATAACACGCTCATAGGACACTAAACCAGTGCAATTAGTATCCTCTTCAGACAGAAGATCAATATACCCAGTAGAATTAATGAAAATATTCAAAAGAAAACTCCAGAATGATAAAAAGCATTACTCTATTTATTTTAATACCATAATGCTCTCGCTCTCAATGACATTCTGTAGTAACAAATTCTATAAGCTACTCTGTGCTACGAAAAACCAGCACTTTTTCCATTTGTCGTTCCACTTCAGGAGATGATTCCTCATTCCTGTATCTGGGGGTGTAATGAACTGCAATCTAGAGGGCTGTGAAAAAATACATGGTCACCCACACTGATGAAAAACGAGGTCTATCTACTAGAGGTGTGTTAAGTGCTTCTCAGATGGTCAAGAAAACAGAAAAACAGTTACACAAAACCAGACAAAACCAGTATAGATTGTTGTTTATAAGCACATCAAAATGGCAAGCACACAGAATGAAAACATTAAAGTCCAAAAATGGCACAAAAGCCACAAATCTCCATGAATAAATTCAGATCAGAAACTAGAGTAACGTTTTGAACAGTCAAGGAGTAAGAAGCAGTATCAGTGTCACAAGAGAAAGCATTGGAGGGCTGGCATCGAAGTTTTACGAACTGACTGCCTAACTAAAGCAGGAGATGGGACAAGACAACCCAGAAGTCCCTTTAGTCCTAGATCTTCATGAGTAGTTATCTGTGCTTTACCTAACAGATCTCTCTTTGAAGCAAGGATCTTCTGTGCCTTGTGAAACAACGGTTACATCCACAGGAGAGGACCGAGATTAGCTGTTAACAGAACAGACGTGATGACAGATGCGTGAGCGCTTGTGCACAGGACACATGGCACACATAACATGCCACACACGTTATGTAGGGAGTATGTTTGAATATTTCATCTGCAAGGACATTCTGTATGTAAAAGGGTCACTACCTACGTACAAAAGCTTCAACTTTTTCAGATAAACCCAAAGCATGGCTGCAAATCTACAGAACTCCATTTTTACAAGAAAATGTGATGTGATTTTCTAGTTCAAAATTGATCATGTCTAATAAAGAATATCCCTTCAAAAATCTTCATGTCTGCATAGGGAGATAAGGAGTTCCTTGCACAGTTGCTACCCAGAGGATAAATGTGGAAGATGACTGCAAATCTGGAGGAATACAACTTCTCCGCACCTTGAGCACCTTAAGACACTTTCTAAAAGTCCACAGTTTCACAGCAATTCAAGATTAACTGAATGTTATAGATATTCATTTGGATTTTCATTATTTAATTTGAGCCTACATAGTACCACACACATACAAATCCATCAGATGATATTCATTACTCAAATTAAGTTTCTAGATCACTATAAAGCGTGATTTTCCATACTGCTGCTAAAATACAACTTATTTCCTTGGAAAAAAACCAACCCTTTTCTGAACACAGACAATTAAGCTCCAGTAATACCAAATTCCCTTCTAGGGATCTATCAGGGATAAATCTCATCCAGTGTGTACCAGAAAACACAGAAACAAAATCACATATACCTAAATGCACTGCATGCCTTCATTTTAAACCAGAAGAAAGCGTTGAAGCCACCACGAGAATTGTGCCCGGGTAGGATAGCCTCTATCCGTTGACTCACCACTCTTGCTGTGAGAAACTGCAGGTAAACCCAGAAAGGCCTATTACAGCTTTTCCATCCTGAAGTCATCTTTTTAATTTGTTTGCTCCTAAACACTTGTGAAACTCCACAGTACAAGACAGCATCAGCACAGAAGAGCTGGAGCTCAGCAGTACTGAAGACTCGGTCTGACTAACCACATTTTACAGCGAATGAAGTCCACAGGTGTATTTACTGCCAGCTGACAATGATTTCAAAACTAGGAACTGGTGTGAGAGAGTGATGGAAAAGGTAAACATTACCCTAAAATTTACCAGGAAGAGATAAAAGAGATAAAGATTTGCCAGTGCTTTTCTCTAAAACATTGGTGCATTACACAGCAGACCGAGTAATTTTGGTCATCCATCTGAAAAACAGGTTAACGTCAGATGGAATATTCTCTGAGATGGGTTCCTGTGGTATTTGTTAGGGGAAGATTGTAAAAGAACCTGCCTTGTTTGACCTAAAAAGCAAAGGAAAAGGCAATATGTGACAGTGCTCTGCAAAGACATCAAGGCTAAACACTACAGAGGGAGAAGAAGTGTCTAAACTAAAGCAGGAGTTTGGCACAAGGACAAAAGGGATTATACCTGCTATGAATACATTCAGACTGGAAACTAGAAAGTGTCTAGCCATCAGAGCTCAGAGTACGGTGTAGCCTCACAGTGGGAATAACATAAGGAAAATAACCTAATTAGTTTTAAGAGGGAGATTGAAAAGTTTAAGAATGTCTCAACAGCAGGGGACTGGATTTGGGAAGTGCCTTTTAGTCCTGCGTTCAAGGAGGAAGACTGAGCAGAGAACAACCAGAACCTGTATCTGCATAAATTTCCATTCAGAAGCATTCTGGCGAATTAGTCTCATCAGTCTTAACTAATCACACCTTTAGTTCACAAACATCATGAGAGATTCATGCAAGTGCCAGATACCTGTGTGTACCTGACTATAGGTTAGTATCTGGAGTTATTAAGTGAGCCTCTATTTTGCCACTGACATATTAACTATTCTTAAGAGGGACAAGAAGCACTGTGGCAGCAATATGGCAGAATAAGCGAAGAGGATTCGGGGTGGGTCTGGACACCCGTGCTGGTGTTAGCATGAAAAGTAACACACACTGTAGTAAGTCTGGTATAAAAGTTGAATTAAACTATTTGTAAATATTATTATTTTTCTTCTGTGTACCATCTCTTCTGAGAGCCAGTTCACAGTGGTCCAAATGCAATTTTAGGGCCATTTCTACATAAAAATGAGTTAAACCATAAAAATCCAAGTTTGTTGTTTGTTTTTCTTTTTAATCTGAAGGGCTGGCTTCATCACTGTCATTTAAACAAGAAAAATCATAGAAATTACGTAAGAAATTATAGGTACGAAGAACACATGGGAATTAACACACCACAACACATGTTAGTGTGTTCTCAAACTTCAGAAAAGAGCCACTATAACACTCAAAGTGAAATCCTATCTCCACTGAAGCAGCATTTCATCCCTGAACCTTCTTTCCAATTAAAGAAGTGCATCATTAACTACAACAAGCAGTAAGAGCTCTGAGAGGGGCTGACTGAGATAAACAGGAAAATAATTAGCAGATGACTGTTACTTGGTTTTGTTTTACACTACATATCGACGTGTAATTGCTACCACGACTTGAAGCTTTTCTATCATTGTGCGTGACATCCATGCACAATTTTGCAAAATTAGCACTTTCTCTTACACCAACCGCGTTTGCCTTTCCTTGACAGAAAGTAACCCAGAAGTTTTCTCCCCAAACCTACGAGGCTCTTGGGCTCTGATTTGGTGTCTTTTACCCATGTACCATCTTCCACTCCCCAGCATAGAAACCACGGTACTGTGAGTTGACATGAATTCCTTGAACTCAGGAAGCAAAGCACTGCCAAAACCCAAACCAACACAATACCAGCTCTGCAGAAGTGGAGCGACCACAGCTTTTCTTCATACCTGCTTTTCACTCCAAGAGTGTGCCCACACTCCTCCCACCACTTCTCAAGAGGCAAATAGCATGCCCGAGCGTACAGAGCTTTGCCAAGAGGAAGCGGAGACAGAGCCACCAGCATTGTGCCAGGCAAAGGGCCCCATCTAGGAGCAGCCGTGAGCCTGCAATGCTTCCCCCCACACCCTCATCCACACAAAGTGGGAAAGAAACTTTGTCCACTCGTTGTCCCTGCCTAGACGTGCTTTTAGACACTCAACTCTCTCTGTGGCTGCCCTCTGTCCCCTGAGGGGTGAGCTATGAGGTGACCCAGGGGCGCTAACAAGGGGCAGCCCAGCACCCCCTGCACAGGGGAACCCTTCCCTTCACCCACCAGGCCTCCCCACTGCAGGCTCCTCTGCACCTGCCTCCACCCCACCCAGGGCCAGGCAGGCGCCACCCCAGGCTGCCTGGAGTCGCCAGGAGAGGGGCCATGTGGCCGGGAAAGAAGGCGCACGGCAGCCTCAGCCCGGGCAGTAAGGGGAGAGGGACGAACCCACCCCCCTCAGCCACCAC